CAGTTCGCACTTTTCACTTTATAAATATGTATCGTGAAAGATCATATCTCTTTAGGGTTTTTAAGATTAATTTTGCCCATTAAAGTCATTGCAGTGGGCTTGGTCTATCTGATGGGATAAGAAAGTTAATGGTTTAAAACTGCCTTTGCTGAATCAATTAGGACCTTTGCCATGGATTTCTGTGGGATCAGAATGTTGTTCTTTTAGCATTTACATACAACTCTTGTGGGAAATAACATCTTAAAAAGTGTCATCTGTTTAGAAATAGGCTGTGCTAATCAGACATACCAGCAGATTTCTCTGAGCCTCCTTGAGTGCTTTTTGAAGTCCAGTTACGTGAGGATGGAACCAGGGGAAGTTGTGTGGTCTTCGTATGGAGGTGGCTTTCAAGGGTGTTTTATACCTTTCAGGTGAAAGGATGGAAGAAAATATTTGACTTTCTGACTTTCCTAAGATAGAATCACTGGAAAGAAACTATGAGATCGTGCTAGAAGAGTTGCGATAAGAGCGTTATGGTGTCTGAGGGGTACTGGCTAAGCAGGAATAGAAGGAATTTGAGGTCTGTTAGGACACAGACCCTTGGGGGAGACACTGCAAATGGAATACAAGGGAAGGAGGAGGTAGGGACTCAAGTGTCTGCCCCTGACCTACAGAACTGTTGTTGCTAGCTAAATGGGAACAGCAGCAATGAAGCACACTTTACTTCTTCACACTCAGATTCTGAAGATTAGTTTTCCACCTCTGTCATTGTTGCCCTGCAAGTATAGTAAGCCTGCCAAAGGTATGTGATTGCTCTTTGGGGTTCTTCTGCAGGACTGAATTTGTCAACTCTTTCTCCCCTCAACACCGATTTTATCTTTCACGGTGTCTCAAGAGCTTTCACTTCCAAGCTCCTCCTCCTTACTGCTTCTAAAATCTCCCAGGCAGTTACCCTTGTCTATCTGGAAACCTCTATGGGCATCATTCTCTATTTATTTTCAAATTAAAAAAAAAAAAAAAAAAAAAAAGGCAGCATGTCTGAACTGTCAGTTATGCATTATCTATTTCTTTCCTCTAAAGAGCTCCTTGCATCTAGAATCTTAGCTATGTTTGGCTCAAGTTTTTTGGTATTGTTTCCTTTGAGTTTTTTCTTGGTATTGTAAACTTCTAGGTAATCTTTTAAGTAGAATAAAAAGGGTATACTAGTCACATGGTTTAGCTAATGAAACTATACAGAAAATGAAACCACTGAATTGGTGAGAAAAGCAATTGTATCTATGGCTAGTAAATTGAAGTAATAAAATTGCTTTTGACTTTCTCCAGATGAAAAAAGAATGTCTGTCTTGTTCAGGTTTATTATAATTATATCAAATTAAATATATATAAAAATATAAAAAGCTAACTAGTTAATTTAAAGGGGATTTAAAAGGATTTAGATAAGGATTTTTAAAAGTAGGAAAGATTTTACTTTCATTCTCCAGACTTAGCCATAAGATGCTGAGATTAGAAAGTTCAAAGTGTTGAAAACTGTGGCAACCAGAAGAAAGCAGTTCGAGTCATTGAGTTTAATCAATATTTCCTTGGGTTTTATTATATAATTTTTTGTAAAGGATAAAACAATTTTTTCAAATGCTGGGTTTTTTAATTATTGGATATTACATCAAACAGCTTTTCTGTAGATTTCGTACTAGATTATTCATTTATTATCCAATTATTTAAATAATAGAATGCAAAAAAATTTAAGAATCTGCTATATACTTCCATTAAGACCTATATTTAATGAAGTTTACATAGATAATGATGCTAATTAACAAAAATAAATACAAAATTTGACACAATTATACTTATTTCCAAACCAAAGTATCTTAATATTCATAATGGTGTATCAACTTTCTTTAGGAGTCCAAATAAAAATGTGTGCTGCTCTTTATCTATAAAAGTAAAGGAATTTAAAGAATTCGTTTATTCTAATTTACTGACCTCAGTCATAGTTAAAATAATTTATTAATAGCACTTTCATTTTTTAAAAGAAAGAAAATTTGCCCCCAAAGCATTTAAACCATGTAGTAAGATGAAGCTAGGCACCAAAAGTAATAAACTCTATGAAATTTTCTTTATTTTATAACCACTGCTGTGACAGTTTGTGATTGAAAGTAGACTTCTAGAAAGTTAGCTTTTCTAACTTTTTCAGAACTGCTCTTCTTTAACTTTTCAGTTTAATTTATTTAAATTTTGTAAAAAATCCGTGCAAAACTTAGCTACACCAGCACCTGCATGGTTTGAAACTGGTATGGAGGATGTCAGAAAGGAGCTATATTCATTCCCGGTTGATCTTCAACTGTGCTGTGGTCTATTACTGAGTTAAATTATCAGTTTGATTAGCACCTAGTAACCCCAAGCATTGTGCTGAATATCACTCTTGTGAATTAATGTTTTAATTTCAGAATTCTTAAAGTATTTCTAATATTCTTTCGATATTTTCCCCTACATTGCATCTGAAACAGATTAAGTAATAGGCGTTTCACTTTTGAAGTAACTCATCTTCATAGGAAAAAATTGAAAATAAGCTGTCTTGGTGGAAATCTCCACCCAACCTTCCACCCAGAACCCCTGCTAATGCCTCCAAAATATTATCATGACAAGGATATCATGACTGTGAGACAAAAGAAAACTGGCATAGAAGGTAAAGCAAAAAATATAAATAGGATAAGAATTTTGAAGTATGATCAAGAAAACGAAAGAAGATTGATTCATTTGTTTAATGTTTAAATACGGGGTGTTCACATATGTACTGTTAAATAGCAATAGTTTTATGGAGGGTGTCCCCAGCCAAAGGCGAGGCAGGCTTTTGCCTGCTAGGTGTGTTTATATCTTATCAAAAGGCAGCTGGTACCAAAAGTTTTTTGTTAATCCCTCTTCCAGCCAAAAAAGTTCAAATGGAGTAAACTCTAAACATGTTACTCCCAAAGATATTTTGAAAGCAATAGTTAAAACATTATTTCAAAAATATACTTCCGTCACTTTGGATGTGAGGGAGGATGCTAACTTTTCTTTTAATGTTCTGCACCTCCTAATTGGACTACATGATTTGGAAAAACCTTGGTGTCTTTTCAAACTGTCTTGTGGGGGTGGGCAAGAGCCAAATGTTTTTTCTGAATATTTAAACACACTGGATATTTGATTCAAGCATTGCAATTAATAAAATGCTTGCAGTCCATCTTGAGTGTAACAAACCAGATTTACAATTAACTATTGTGTTACATCTTCAGAGGAGCTCACCGTACTGTTTTGCCTTGCAAGACGTGCTAATCTGGGGAAGTGATTTTGCAAGGTCATTGTATCGGCATTGATCTGTTATTTGGAGACTGGTTCAACACTTGTGAAAAAGAAAGTATAATTCTTGGGAATGTTCTATAAACTGAACTGCGGATAAGAAGACCAACTTGTGCTGCTTATGTGAACAGAAGTTCTAAAAGCCCTTTTGAGAGGTGAGGGACACAGGAGTTGGTAACATGCAGGTTATGTGTGGTTGTGTCTAAATAGAGCCTGCAGAGCTTACCTTTGGCAGTGAAAGACTTCAAGCTGATGTTCGTGTTCCTTCTAACCGAAGAAAGGTGTACCAGCATTTTAAATCTTTTTTTTTTTTTTTCTTTTCATGCAATCTGCTTAATTTACTGTCCAGTGCCACAAGAAATCTGATCTAAAAAGCCTCATACTTCCCCAATTGTTAACAAAGAATAATTTTCCACCGCCACCCAGTTTAACTGTTATGGTATGCCTTATTTTGGCCTGCTGAAGTTCAAGAATAAATATTAAAATCTGTTTTATAAAGACTGGCTAAATTTCAAGTGTTGTTAGGGGATACTTACCACTAGCTATTTCAGAAGTCCTTATGGTTTGTGATTTTTTTTTTTTCTTTAGAAAAGAATGAAGAATAAATGTATGACATAAGTGACCAAAAAGATTAGTATATTGTTACATGACATGAATAACAAATGCTTCTTGCTGTGACTGCAGATAGCTGAAGACAGGATACAGTTAATGTAGTTTATATAAACTAAGTATGTTAGCTGAAGGATTAGATTTTTTTACATTAATTTTAGTGTTCGTTACTGTTCCAAATATAATGGCTTTTACTTTTTAATCTTTGGAACATTTTTCCCTGGCATTTTTTTGTAGGTATGTGTGAGAGACTTTCATAAGCCTCCATGTAAGTATTTCTGCTTTTCAGGTGTGCATATGATTGTTCATATCTAGTTCATTTCTAAGTTGCCATGTTTTAGTATGGAATAGGATGTTTCTGAACAGTCTGTTTCTGAGTCTGTAATCTATTGTGGATGATATTTCTCTTAAATTTTCAGAAATCCAGTATTTCATGAGACAATAGTTTGTTGGGTTTTTTTTGCTATTGACTATAGCTTTATGTCTCTTAGTCATTTAATAATGGTTATTTTTTATGGATTAGCTGCTTTAATAATGGAGAGAAGTTATATCCAGAAAAATTGAGGCTTTTTGCGTTGTAGCGGATGCATATGTGTAGTTACAGACATCAGATATAATACATGAAAGCATTCATTCAGCTGTTTGTAGGATCAACTCATGGAAAAAAAATGTAGCCTGCTTTCAATGACAAATAATAAACTGAAGACAGTACATATAATACATGCATCCTTCCCAAAATAGCTTGTTGCATCTTAGTTTCCTCAAAGTTACTTAATCACAAAAATAATTTACATTGAATGTTTTTCTTCAAAAAAGATGTAATTAACTCAAATATCACTTAACTAGAGATTTTATCTAAGTTTTGATTTAAAAAATAGGATTAAAAGGATGTAGGGGAAAATGTTGTAAATAATTACAGTTCACCGTAATTTCTCTTATAGAGCAGACAAATTTCAGGATGACCATGTTCCTCATCATAGCACTTCTGGTTTTGCTATTTTATTGCTTTATAAGTTTTTTCATTTTTTCTCTTACCCTAACTTAGCTGTCTCACTGTTCTTATGATCCTTTTGATTCAGGATGCAGAATAGAAAACTGCGACTCCTGCTTTAGCAGAGACTTTTGTACCAAATGCAAAACTGGCTTTTACTCGCACAGAGGCCGCTGCTTCCAAGGATGCCCCCCTGGATTTGCAGCCTTGGAAGAGCTTATGGAATGTGTGGGTGAGTCTTCTAGCACAGCTATGCTGCTGAAGTAGCTCTTTTGCCAGGTGTCTCGGTTCAAATATGGCACTATTTTTAAGCTGATGCTTAGCATTTCCTGTCAAGAAATATTCACTAATGAATTGTGTCTGGATTTCTTTACCTAGAGTAATAGTAATAAATAATTATTTAATAATGATTATAATAGTAGTAGTTTTTTCAAAACTGAAATACTGCATTATTGGGTATGCCACTCTGTTCTACATCAGGAAGTACTGTCTTAACTATAAAACACCTTGTATGGGGATTTATAACACAGAATTTGTTAGATTTCAGGAAGGCCAGTTGTTGCATTAGAACTTTAAGTCAGTGATGTTCTTGTTGCATTCTTGCCCTCATACCCGCTCATTTTGCTTCTTACTAAGGCCAGGCAGATTGAATTCCTGTAACTTCTGGGCTTCAAATTCACTTTTAGTTTCTCTACAGCTCCCTCCCTTTTCCATTAGCAAGTAACAAAAATAAACCACCAAATAGGTATTTTTAGTAGAAATTTACTTTATAACTCTGAGCCAGTGTTGGCAGTTCTCACAATATTTGTGGAGTCTCAAAATGTGGTGTTTTATCTTGAAACCTGGGAATTGTGTCGGAACAGACTTCTTTCAAGAGTATTCCTCGCATTTCATGATGGACAGGACCTAGAAGTATGAACTCTTAAGCTATGCATTTCATGTGAATTCGAGTTTGGTGACAACCAAATAGGATTTATTTATTAAAAAGAGAAAAATTTAAATCAATCTCATGGTTTTAGGAGGTCTTTTTAATATTTGTGACTGACATGATATCTTTACGTACAGATTGATAGTCTGATGGTTTTATGCTCAGAGTAATGCTGGTTAAAAAGATTCTTTCAGGTTCTGTAAGAGATCTTAATTTTGTTTCTAAGTTTTTTGTCTATTAAAGAGTAAAACTTTCAAATGGTGCTTTCTAATAGTGTATTCTAATTTAAAAAAAAATTAAAACAAAACAAACAAAAAAAAAGCCCAGAAAAATTTCTCCCTTGTGTTTTCTTTTGCTTTATCAGAAGGCTGTGAAGTGGGTCAGTGGAGTGAGTGGGGAACTTGCAGCAGAAATAACAAAACATGTGGATTTAAGTGGGGCCTGGAAACAAGAACAAGACAAATAGTGAAGAAGCCAGCGAAAGACACGATACCATGCCCAACCATTGCAGAATCCAGACGGTGTAAAATGGCCGTGAGGCATTGTCCAGGAGGTAAGTGTAGTCCATGCCACAAAAATCTTTATGAGCTTTCCTTAACTGAAATCCTATTTCTAACTTTAAAAATGAACTTTTTCATCCCAGCTGAATGGGAAATCCTGTGTCTGCTCTGCCAGCCAAGGCTGAAAGGCAGCAGTACTACAGCAGCCCTAATTTGTGCAGGAAGACTCCAGGGAAAGGCTCAGCGTGGGAGGGATCAGACTCTCAGTAGACCGTGAAACTGTGTTTTTCCTGGCTTTTTCAAAGAGGTGCCTTATGGAAGAACCAGAACGGGTTGCAGTTTGAGCTTCAGCATGAAAATGAGAGTGATGGTGGAATAACGAATTGCTCTGCACATGGCAGGAAAGATTATGATTCTAAATCTCTCTTCAGGTGGCACACCCGGTGCTGGTGTGTTGGGTATTCACATTAAGTGAAGTTAGTTACACATGGCATTGTTAGCTGGAACTATTAGCTGGAGTGTGTTACTTGTTGTGAATACTGTAGATGAGGCTCAAACTACGACAGATGTGATACAAGCAGAATAGTGATAGATATCAAGCTTTTCAGCATGAGACCAGCTTATGGCAATTAACACAAGTAGATAAAATAAATAATCAGATTTCTTTATCATGATGTTCTAAGACTTAAGTAGTGATGCTGATTTGAAAAAGGAAATGGAGTTTCAAATTTGTGTTCAGTTTTGTAGACCCCAAATTGGAGACACGTTGCTGGTAGAGAGGAATTTTTATTATGTTTTAAATTGAAATGATTAACATTTCACTTGTGCACACTGAACACTTAGAGAGTTTTCAGAATTTGTAGAAGAGGTGGGTGATCAACAGGTGATAAAGATACCATTCCTTTTGGAATCATAGGATTGAAGAAAGATTCAGGCTTGAAGGAACTTCAGGAGATCTCTAGTCCAACCTCCTGCTGCTACTCAGTGAACCGTGAGATCCGACAAATAAAAAGGAATAAAGGGTTGCAGAGTCCTGAGAAAAGCCATAACCTGATGAATAAGCTAAAACTGAAACAATGTTAGAATAATAGTTACATAAATAAGTTTGCTTCATGTTCTGGGATTGTTGACTATGTCTCTCTTGGCTTGAATATACTGCCCACCAGTATGTGTGAAAAGTTTTACCTTACAGATTAAGTCTGTGCAAGCTTCATTTTTGTCTTTAGGACCCTGACACAATCTGGAAGAGAATACAAAGTTGGTTCTCTGTTATCCAGGTTAACTGAGTCTGTTTTGCACTCTTCCTCCCTGCCCCGCTCCCTATACTCATACACACGTCCATGCAAACATAGTACACAGTCATAGTGGCACCGGGGTGCATTGTACAGCACAGTTAAGCTGCAACTAAATAAACCTCTCAAAGACATTTAAGAGTGGAACCTTCAAAATGAACATTTCTATAGGAAGGAAGAAGAAAAGGTAAAAACCAAGGCTGATTTGGGCTGCCATGGTATGCGTGTCATGGTATCTTAGAATGCGAGTCAGCTGCATCTACATCAAGGCAGCTACACATACCAGTGCTTAGAGCCTGCTAAGGTGGATGAGCTGTTCCTGTTACTTCTAATAAACTCTGAAGCCCAAATGAGGTTAATGATCGGAGGAGCCCCATGCATCAGTACAGGTTGGAGGGTCCACCTGCTGGACAGCAGGTCTGAGGAGAAGGACCTGGTGGGTAAGTTCTCTGTGGAGAAGTTCTGGTGGACAGCAAGTTGACCACTCCCTTGTGGCCAAGAAGGCCAATGGTGTCCTGGGGTGTATCAAGAAGAGTGTGGGCAGCAGGTCAAAGGAGGTTCTCCTCCCCCTCTGCTCTGCCCTGGTGAGGCCATATCTGGAGGACTGTGCCCAGTTCTGGGCTATCCAGCTCAAGAGAGAAAAGGAACTACTGCAGACAGTTCAGTGGAGGGCCACGAAGATGATTAGAGGACTGGAGCATCTCTCTTATGAGGAAAGGCTGAGACCTGGGGCTGTTTAGCCTGGACAAGAGAAGACTGAGAGGGGACCTTATCAATGCTTGTAAAGGGTGTCAAGAGGATAGTGCCAGACTCTTTTTTTCAGTGGTGCCCAGTGACAGGACAAGGGGCAACAGGCACAAACTGGAACACAGGAAGTTCTGCCTGAACGTGAGGAAAAACTTCTTCATTGTGAGGGTGACAGAGCACTGGAACAGGCTGCCCAGGGAGGTTTTTTCTCTGGAAGTATTTAAAACCCACCTGGATGTTGTCCTGTGCGACCTGCTCTAGGCGAACCTCCTTTAGCAGGGGGTTTGGACTAGATGATCTCCAGAGGTCCCTTTCAACCCCTACCATGCTGTGATTCTGTGAACTGAGAAAATGTTTTACAGCATTTTTTTCATTACGTATCAGGAAAATTGTTGCTGCATATAGAAACTCAGTGTGAAAGGCTCGTAGTACTCTTTCATAACCATGGGCTCCTCTCTTGTCCTCCCACGGTATGGAATTCCCTGCCCATGTTTTCAGAGATAAAAAATAAATATGTACAAAACTGCAGGTTTGAACACTGCACACTGAATACTGATGTTTAATACTGCTATTGTGCCATCATATAAAACATATAAAATGCCAGAGTTTAAACTCCTTTCTCTCTCCTAAGAAACTCCTGGGAGGGAGGGGAGTGTGTTAGTGGTGTTTGAAGTGCCTAGGTTAAGTCTTCCCCAGGCCTGGTTATTTCTGCCTGTGAGGAAGCCAAAGAGGTTGTCCTGTTGGAATCCTGCTTCACAGTGTGTTTAAATTATGATTATATACATAGGTATGATTGTGATTATATACACAGCTGTCTAAGATCCCATTCCTTTATCGTATTTAATTTAGTTAGCAGATCGCCCCATTAGACACTCAAAATGTTTTGTTGCTTATTTAATCACTGTGAAGTAGTGGGAGGCAGAGACACTGGTTACAGGGAAGCTTAAATCAAACAGGTCCTGGATGCTAAGGAAGAGGTTCTGTGTTTTTAAAAATATGGCATTCTCCTAATGTTAGAAATTTTGTAACTGGACTTTTAAACTGAGGAAGTAAGAGAAAAATGTAAGGTTAGCACTACTGGGGGACTGAAAAACCATAATCCCTGTAAATGTCAGTTGAGAGGCTGTTAATAAATCCTTTCTTCCTATAATAAATAAATCCTGTTCTCAGTACATAAACTTACACAAATGTGTAGGATAAGTATTGGATTATATAGCTGAGATGGTTGTAGATTGTAATGGATTAAACTGAGCACAGGAAGTAAGGATATTTTTGGTAGAACAAGGTCAAATGAAGTGCTTTTGGCACATGCTTTCTACTTCTGTGCATTTTACAGTTACTATTTATGGTCCACACTACAGAAAAACTTCTGAAACAGATTTTTACATGTTTGCAGAGAAGTGGGGTTAAATTCAGTTTTCCTACTAAGTACTTCAGTTTCATATTTATCAGGGATTGAGATGTTACCCATCTGGCCATATAGCTGTGGTAGAAATCTCATTGATGAGGAATAATTCTTTATTGCTTTCTCAGTATTTGCAGAGTTACACAGATACAAGCTGGAATACAAGTGAAAGATGATTTCACGTCTTTCCTACAGAAGCCAGCAACAGAAGAGCATGTTCTATTTGATTTCAAATGTGCTACTCAGCGATATTTTCTTATTGTCAGTACTAAGTGATTTAACTGTTATTACCAGATGGGATTGTCACATTTATGTATCTGTTCATGTTATGTATGTCACCCTGTGGCTTGGGTGTAACGTGGCTCATACTATGAGAGGTTAGACTTAGAAAAAGATGACTTGGTTCATTCAGGCCACCTCCTACCTGTGCTGGTCCTTTCCCGATACAGAATTTCCTCTTCTTTAACTCAAAAAGAAAGAAAAAAAAATTTTTAGAAAAGAGTGATTGCATTACAAGCAATGAGGAAATTTGCAGCTAGAAATGTTCTATGGACTGATAAATCTTGGTCTTGAAGTTTTCCCATATATACATTATCAGTATTATCTTTTTACCTCTTATTTTAACGTTTCCCATGTTCACCCCAATGATTACTCCTCTTTTATTTGTACCCTTGAGGAACTTGCAGATTCCTCTCATGTTGCATATTAAATATTACACAGGCAAGCAAAACAGTGCTCTACTTCTTTCTGTCTTCCATCAGACTGCAATTCTTCCATCTGATACATGAATATTACTCTATGCCAAACTCTATTGTTTCTAGTACAAATCACAATGTCATTTATGAATGCTTATTTCAGACATCAAGAAAGAGAAATGAAGATGGGATGTATGTCTGCATTAATTTCCTGAGCTCAAAAAGGGGAAGGCAGCAGGACAGGTCATGACACTACAGTGCAGGGGAGCTCTTGCCTTCACATGGGGGTGTAATTGGATGGACTTTGTGCTGGTTAATTGGATTTTGGGGGCTTTTTATGCAGTAATCTTTCTTCTTTCTATTGCTGCAATAGAATTTAAGACTTGTGGAAGTGTAACAGTAAAATTACCTAATCAGACTTTCTGTCCTTATACTGCAGTTACATTTCATTATTAATATTCAGAAATTACGACTGAAAAGACTAAATGATAAAAGACTATATACTTAAATACAAAAAGCTAATATATATTCAGAACTGCAGAATGCATGTTAACTAAGTAGTGTGAGGTTTTTTTGTCTAATAAGGTACTAGTGATATGGCAAACAGGGTGTTAGTGATCCTGGTTTTCAAAAAGTATTTAAGGTAGGATAGACAATATTTAGACTAAAACTGTACATAAACTTTGAAGACACTACCTATACTCTTAGAGTATACTAAACTAGCATAATTTCTAATAGAAGCCATGTTACAGATATAGTTATCTCTAACAGGTAAGTATTTTTCCCGTCTTTAAAATGACATATTTCATCTGAGAGTGAATGTTTTAAAACTGCTGGCTTTAACTTGTCAACCTGCAGTAAAAAGGGTCAAAAATGTTCTTATGTCATCCTCTCACTCCCCCCGGAAGTTTGGT